TGCGGTTTATGAAACAGGAGCTCAGACGGTTAGACAGTGGCGCCGAGTTTGCGACGAGGCTACAAGAGCATCTTATAGGATGTTTATGAGACCCTATGAGATGGCAGTCAAGGCTGCAAAGAGAGATTTCTACGCAGCTAGGGTTGCGTCCACTAGCTCACGCCCAGCCCAATTATTTAGGATGATTCGATCATTGACAGCTCTGCCACAGGGCAGACAAAATAGTAGGGAATTGGATATTGGCTGTGAGGCTTTTGCGAGCTATTTCGCGGATAAAGTCTTGATGCTCCGCCGCGACCTCCCCACCACAGTTGATATAGTAAGTGAACTTGAGGCCCCTTGCACGGCTTTGCCGGGTTTGGAGGGCTTTGACCGGCTCAGCCTGGAGGAAGTTGATAGAGTGCTTGTATCTGTGCACCCAACCACTTGCAGCCTTGATCCGTGTCCCTCCTGGCTCATTAAAGTGGGCCACGAGGGGTTTCGAGGTGCCTTGAGGGAGATTATCAACAAGTCCCTTTTGGAGGGGCGGTTCCCCGAGGCACTCAAGGAAGCGATGGTCCGCCCTCTCCTGAAAAAGCCAACTCTGGACCCGACTGAATTGGCCAGCTATCGGCCGGTGTCCAATTTGCCCTATTTGGGCAAACTGATTGAGTGGGCAGTGGCGACGCAGCTACAGGGCTTTCTAGACGATGCTTCTGTACTTGATTCATTCCAGTCTGGCTTTTGCCCGGGGCATGGGATGGAGACTGTGCTGGTTGCCCTTACTGATGACCTCCGTAGACATCTGGATCAAGGCGGTGTGGCGGCACTGTTGTTGTTAGATCTGTCGGCCGCATTTGATACAGTCGACCACCAGCTGCTTGCCCACCGCCTTGCCGACATGGGGATTCAGGGGCTCGCCCTTCAATGGCTTGTCTCTTTTCTCCAAGGTTGGGGACAGAGGGTTGGGCTAGGGGAGCAGCAGTCCCGGAGGCACCTGCTTGAATGTGGAGTGCCCCAGGGGGCAGTACTATCCTCAGTGCTATTTAACATATACATGCACCCCCTCGCCCAGATTGTCCGGAGGTATAGACTTGGGTGTCATCAATATGCTGATGACACCCAGCTCTACCTGATGTTGGGCGGCCAGTCAGACTCCGACCCAGAAGATCTTCACCGACCTCTACAGGCCGTGTCTGGGTGGCTCAGGCTGAGCCGGCTGAAGCTGAACCCCGGTGAAGACGGAGGTCCTGTGCCTGGGTCGGGGTGGTATGGGATTGGGGCTCC